TGAGGGCTGAGGGCGGGGGGCGGCGAGAAGAAGGGCAGACCCCGGCACCTGTGCTAGCACTTTATTGAGAACCGGAGGGAGGACGGATGGACCCTGAGCCCAAACCTGCAGTGCCTTGAGCACCCGGGGATGCCGCTGGCTCCAGCGAGTTTTGGGTGTGCAAGGGAAGGAGGGTCAGACCCATCGTGTAACCCTGTGTCTATTTTATAATTTTCTTTCGGCAAAGGTATACAGGTGTGGCAAGTGCATTTGTTCTCACCCTGTCTTTATTTAATTCAGTATAGTCCCGAGAGATTTTCCCCCGAACCTTGCTGTATAAAATGAATGTTTCTGCACTGAACTACAAAAAGAACCGCCCCTCTCTCCCCCAAGAAAACACAGAGCGACTCGTCAGCCTGAACTCATTTTATCCTAAATTCCGAATGACACAAACTGGAGGCCGTGGGTGAACGCCTCACCGTGCAATCGGAAACGGTTAGACCGGTTGGGGTAAGTTTCCCATATGGATTCTCCCCTCGTCCCATGCTCAAATGCCGCGATTTCCCCTTTCTGGAGACAAACCAGACGCCAGATAATCGCACAGATAAAGCTTTTATAATAAGGCTTAAACCAAGACCTTGCCTAGATATTTTTAGTTTGTTGCCAAGGTAGCACTGTGAGAAATCTCACTTGAATGTTATGTAAGAGGTGAGACACAACAGCCTGGCGAGGAGCGAGTACGTATCCGGGGTCTGTCAGTCCGTTTGGTGCATCTGCTGCTGCTGTTGCTACTGTTTGCCTCAAACGCTGTGTTTAAACAACGTTACAAAAAAATCTTACTAGCCTACAGAGTGGCTGTATGTAAATAGTTGTTAATACATCCAATTAATGATGTCTGACATGCTATTTTTGTAGGGAGAAAATATGTGTTAATGATATTTTGAGTTAAATATCTTTTGGGAGGATTTGCTGAAAAAGTTGCACTTTTGTTACAACGCTTATGCTTGATACAAGCTTACGCTGTCTTAAATTATTAAAAAAATAAATCCTGTCTGCAAGAAACCAGCTGGTTTAGAACAGTTTAGTACGTGATATATTAGAGATCAATCTTTATATTCAGTATTTTCCAGCACTCCATGAATTCTATTATCTAAATATTTCCACACTATTTTGTGATTAAAAAAATTCTTACTAAGGAATAAAAACTTTAATACACAAAACGGGGTTGTCTACTAATTAAAAATCTTACGATAATACATAATAATGGCTGCATTGAGCTTCAAAATGTATGATTGTGTGGCTGATGATAATCATTTAATGCCTTTTCACATTTCTAATCTGGGTTCAAATTTGCTTGGTTTCCTTTAACTCACTTTAGCAAACTCTGTTCTAAGAGATGCACGTTTCACAAAGCAAGGTGTAGAGCATGCACGGTGGAACACGCATGTTTCTTCCCGACATCTACTTTTTTCCTCTTCTTTTTGCAAAATACTATCTTTAAAATCAACACTTTACAGCCCTGGTGCTGCGTGGAAGCTATCTTTGTTCACCATGAGCAAACTTCACGACTTGTATGACAATCCAATGATGTATCATAAACTCTGGAGGAATGATGTATGTCCCGGCTTGGAAATCCTCGGGGAAAACTGAACATTGGGGGGGGAGGGGGGAGGAGAGCAGGAGGGGGAATAGAGCGGTGGAAACGGGCAAGTAATTCACAGCATGGAAATGCAGCACCCTAAAGACTTCCACAGATTTAATATCTGAGCCGCGGATCACCTTTTCTTTCAAAAATTCTTCCTGTTCCAGAGAAATAAAGCGAAGAAAACCCTCAAACAGTAGCCAATGTTTATGTAAGAGAGAAATACAAAGGCAGCGTTTCGTGCTCCCTCTACTGGTTCTTCTATACCGGTGACTCTGTCCTCGGAGCCGCGCTGACAATGAATGAAGTCGCAACGCAAATGTAACAGAAAACTCCTAAGACGCGTGTTGATTCCAGCAGTCCTTTGAAATATAGGAGGAATTATACATTGGGCGAAAAATAAGCGCTCCTTTTAAACTGTTCAAATGGGATTGTTAAGAAATAGGTATACGTCTTTTCACACGGAAGCCCTAGTAAAATTAATTCCTACTAGAAAGAGAAATGGGAAGGCTATCTGTACACATACCAGTGGACACACAGAAGTGCTTTTTCCATAAAGTGATGATAATGGACCAAAGGCCGCTACATTGCATCAGTATACCTGCTGAAGTCAATTATTTGTGGGCTGAAATCAAAGCTTATCACAGGTAATGGAAAGACCTGCGTCTGACTTCAGTCGTCTTTCCGTCCTGTTCTGCGCCTTGCGTTATCACAGGAACAAAAGTGAACTAGCTTCAACCCTTCAACTCGGCAACTCGCCAGCCACTTTACTTTGACCCGCATACTTAAACGGCTTAACGCTTGCTACGTGGCCAGAGTTACACTGGGACGAACGTGCTCATATACTCCAACTCCTCATACCAGGGAGGGAATCGGCCTTACTGAGCACGAAGCCCTCCCTACCATTTTATTATATGCACAGAAAGGGTGGAGCCACGAGCGCTTTTCAAAAAAACCGTACCCCTCGTGAACAACTTGGGTGGTTTGAAACCTGAGCGTGGGCCAGGCTTTATGTCTTTTTCAAATTTCCAGCCTTTGGGAATATGAATCAGCTTAGATTCCATTGGGCTATAAACCTAGATCCTTATAGGGTTTTATCAATTTCAGTATTTACCATGTACAATAACAGGAAGGCTTATTTTTATTAGCCCTTGAATCAAACGTGCCAAATGACTTCATGCCAAGTTGCAGCATCAGTGGAGTCTATTAAATTTTATTGCATAAAACATAAAGACAAAATATGTGCGTTCAGATAATACCAATGCCTAACAAAAGCAAACACGTGGAAAAAAAAGGTTTGTAATTGAGGCTGAGAACCCACTGCTGCCGGAGGCAAAGGGCAAATGACAGGAGGGACCCTACCGTCAGCTTTAATTATTAAATTCCAGGCTTCCTCAGATCCCTTTGGAGCCTAAATCATGTTTCGTTATTTTCTCGAGGTTAAAAAAATCATACAAGCAACGGACAAGAGCCTGACAGGCTTAAATAGACATTCACTTACGTGCAAATATGTGTTATCAACGCTTGTTATTTCCTGCCTACTTTCTATAACTCTACGATATATGGACTCTCATCTGCACTGCTCAAGCGCTAAGCGTGCAGGACCGGGTGCTACATTTGCTGTACACACTCGAGTACATACTCTATTTTCTCGTAAACCACAAGATAAGGGATGTAAGCTGGCAAATGTATTTTCTTAAGCAATAAACTTTGAAAACAGGTCTTATTTATCCAGTATATTATAGTGGCATGAAAGGCTCTGTTATAGTGTGTTAAACAAACACGGTTGAGATTGTTAAGCCAATGGAAGGTAATATCATGTACCTCCCACTGAAGGCAATGAAAGTTTTATGTTTGTGCAGTTATAGGACTCAAATTGACTATCAGCCCTGTTTAAGAAAGGCCTGACCTACCAACTAGGTCAATGTGAGTCCTTTCCTCGAGCGTAATGGGCTTTGGAGTAGGTCCTAAGCCTATGTTTTGGGGCTTGTTTGTTTAATTGTCACTTCTAGTCAGGGCAGACTGAATGTCTTCGACATCCAGCAAACCCGGGGACTGTGCGCAATGTCTGTTTCAGCACCGGTAAACCCACAGTCTGCCCTGTGCCCTGGGTCTGGCAACGTATTTCCTTTTCCTTTCAGACACCAGCTGCTGGAGTCATGTGATCTCTGCCTTCTTTGAGAAGTTTCCTGCCTGCTAGTTGCAGAAGTGAACTTGAAAGCATGACCTCAAAGAAAGCAAGTAACAAAAATGCCAAATTTCCTCTCCGCAAAAAAAGACTTGGATTGTTTTAGAGCCAGTTTCACTCAAGAAAGTCTGAATCTCTATTTACTATCTCTGGTTATACTGCAGTCTCAGTAGCTCACTGCAAAGCAGCAGAGAGAAGCCAGTGGCTCACCTGCCACTAGCAGCGGCCATGCAAGTCCTAGGCACGTGTGGGCTGGGCGTGAGCAAGGGTGAGCTGCCACTGTCACTTCACCCTCTGCATCCTTCCTGTGGCTACGGCATTTCAGTCTCCGGGGCTGTCAAGCTGTCACAAACACTAAACTCATCGCAGCCTCAATTACAGCAGTGCCGCGGGCTGCACGGAGCTGCCCTGCCCCAGGCCGAGCAGCAGAAGCTGTTCTGCCTCACTGAACTCACCGGGCACCCAGTGGCAGTGCACCTGCTGCTGCCGCTGCTGCCCTTTCCTGGGGTGCAAGCATGCCTCTTCCTGCCTGGCACTCCCACCGCGCCCTGGAGGAGGCAGGTCACGCCTGGGACAGGCGGGAAGACGTGACCCTGTGTTTCGAAAAGCAGGGACTGTGGTCCCAGGCAGCTCTACTGGGTCACGGGGGCCAGGGAGAGTTCTTTTTCCTGCCTCCATAAAGGCCTGTGGTTGTTTGGGCGATTTTTTACTTTTATATATTTTTTATATATTTATATCAAATTTGTATATTTTTAAAATATATATATATTTCCCTGTCCCCATTTGTCCTGCTTTAGTTTAAAAGCAGGTGCACTGATTTTCACTACTCTTTACAGATTTTTTGACCTCAGCTGAGATCTTCTGGGATCAAATTAGAAATGCAGATTTGTTCCTTATTAGAAGCACATCCACATTCCCTTCCCCCTCACCGTTTATCACAGTGAGGTGCTTGATCTAACAGAAACTACACGATACGAACTAGCGCAAGTCTTTGGTGAGTGCTTCGGGAATTGGTCCCCTCAGTCCCCCGATATCAGCAGTTCCCTGACTGCAGACATCTGCTGGGCATTGCTGTCTGCACAATTGCAGCCCCCCAGCCAGAAAAGGGAAACTACTCCTAATTTCATCTCGCTTGTTTTGCTCTCAGAGCTCAAAGGTGAGTCTAGCTCTCGTTCTAAAACGCTTCCATCCAGACCAAAACCTGGAGAACCAGTTACCAAAAAAGAAACCCTTGTGGCCAGGTCACTCTCACAACTGAGCAATTTCTAAACAACCACCTCAGGAAAAGAGCTATGTAAATATGGCACCTTCTTACTCAGCAGAAAATTGGCTCCCCGAGTGTGTTTGGAGTAATACCCGCACTACAGAGCCAACTGAGCTGACAGATACTGATGTGGATTCTATTCTCACTGTACTTCATCGACAAAATTGCTAAGGCTCTAGCCCTGCACTTGGCAGCAGGCAGGCATGCAGCTTTGCTTACACATAACCTTGTTTGCGAAGAAGCCCATCTACAGAGGAGCCGTAGTTCATCTGCATGGTACTAGTTACAGCATTAAGGGCTTCAAACTTGGTTAGAGCCCACTGAATTGACTTCAGGTTTGGATCCTGTGAGTAGTGACCCCGATTAGGATTTCTGTGGTATGGCGATCACAGCTTCCAGTAGAGGTTGTAAGACTGGGCCCTAGGTTCCAGCTGCAGGACCTGCTTTTCTCCTTGGCTGGAATATGAGTGTCTCCATCAAAAACAAATGGAAACAATCATAAGCCACCGAGGGCAGACTCTGTAACAATAAGGCAGCCTGAGATGCAGAAAAAAAGCTTTTCTTGGCAGCAAGATCTCCAAATGTGTTTGCAGGAGTAGCAGCCAGAGAAACAGAATGTCTTTTTTTCACGTGCAGGTTGAACTCTCTTATTCTGCAAGTGACCAAAGAGGCTGAGAAGAACAGCCCACCTAAACACGGAAATTCTATTTTATGTTATCCTTGAAAAGAAAGAGACTGACTTAGCTAATCTGCGTTTGTGCAGACGGTTAGAAGAAGTAAAGCAGCCCAGCGGTACTTCTGAGTGCGTGGCTGTCTGCGCACCTACCTCTGGTTTTAAAAGCCAGTGCTTGTACACACGCGTTAGGGCTGGATGACAATTCTGGGAGACACAGGCACACAACCGGAGCGGGGAAAGAAGTCGTTCAGGTCATTTTGTCACAGAACTGTCTGCATTCCCTTTAGAGTTTCGCACCGGCGCCCAGAAGGCCGGCAACAGTTGGTTTGCCGCGGAAGAATGGGATCGGACCTGCCCGGAGGCA